GCTCAACAGAAGAAAGAAACTGCGTCCAACAGCTAAAAGACATTCATACAGGTCTGGAATAACTTGAGTAGGCCTAAATGATGACATCTTAATTTTTGGGTGAACTAATCAAGTGTTCGAGAGATCAGTGTAATAACTTGCAATAATCGATTATTCTTTAGTGAAATGTTCCTGTGAAAAATGACACATAGAAACACACACTAAAATATCTATTTTAGTTCAAGGGAAAATATAAACTTACACAGAGCTCCTCAAACACAGAAGGATATAATCTCCATGTCTCTGGGTGACTGTGTTTCCCCTTGTCGTTCTATTTCTCTCTCTTTCTTACACACACACAAACACACGACAGTGAGGGGGAGCCTGTGAATGACAGATTGCTGAACTGCTCATATGCTGTGTGCCTCGCTGGAAGAGCATGAGTCACCCCCCACACACTTATCCATACACATTTATGTGCATTTATCACAGACGCATGGAATTAAAATCATCATCCATACATACATCCACTAATGTTTGTTTGCACAAAGAATTAGTAGACTTGATGCCATGATGATTTAAATAAACATAAATATATACCTCCATAGTCATGATGAGAAGCTTTCAGAAAACGGCGTGCTCACGCAACCAGTTTAAAATATAATGAGCGTATTTAAGAGGCTTCGGTCTGTTGTGCGAGGGTGAATGTGCTTCAACTGGTGGCTGAAAAAATGGTCGGAGGTTTGTAATCTAACAATGAAAAACGGGGAAACAATGCTAGATGCTACTGACTATAGTGATTATACGATTGTGCATAGTTAGAATAGCTAAAGGTTGTAGCAAATAGATCGAACAGTCAAATAGAGTCCAAATAAACTAGTAGGCCTACTTGTAACTCATGATTGTATTTATACATTCTCAAGGTTTTTTTATTTTTGTTTTTTAAATAAAATGTTTACTTACCTCTGTACAAAATCAAACATTATGATACTGGGTTGCCACTTGATGTCCAATATGAAATCTTGGTCTCGAAGCAAAACCGGTCGAGACCCAGTTGTGTTTGATGTCAGCGTTTATGGGTTTAGCAGTTAACAGACCATCAGTTATCAAAGATAATTGCTTCATAAATCAACAGCGCCCTCTGCTGGCTCACACCATCTCTTACGCGACAGCAGAATGTAGGCCTTGCTATGTACTGTATTTCTATAGAAGTTATATAACAATTACCCACTTGAAATGATAAACAGAGCACATCAGTATTGTAAGATAATCAACTTATGAGAACATTCTGGCAGGCAAATGATTACATTTGAGAGGCGCTTGGTGTCCATTGAAAATAATATTGATCTATAAAAGCATCCACGACCAGCATAGTTCAGTTTGGAATACAGTGTTCTTACTGACAGACAGTAGAACACAGCGTTCACAGCATATATAAATATCTTTATTCTATTTGCTTAGACTGTGATTATTGCCATGTACTGCAGAAATAGGGTTGCTATTTTATTTTTGAGTGTGAGATGTTTTAGTTCTCACTGAATAAATATTAATCTTATGACCTTGTATATCAGTTAACTTCATGATCTATGCAGGAATCTGTGCATATCAAAGAAATTAACATAAAACATATACAATTATACAGTGTGTGTGTGTGTGTGTGCATGTTTATGTGGTTTATGAGGACACAAATTTGTATAATAACATGGGTATGACATAGGTATTACAACGAGAAGGTGATTTATGAGGACATTTTCAGTGTCCCCGTAATTCAAAAGTCTTATAAATAATTCAGAATGAGTTTTTTTGAAAATCTAAAAATGCAGAAAGTTTCCTGTGAGGGGTAGGGTTGGTGTAGGGCAATAGAAAATACGGTTTGTACAGTATAAAAACCATTACGCCTATGGAGAGTCCCCATAAACCATAAAAACAAACCTGTGTGTGTGTGTGTGTGTGTGTGTAAACATACATACATACATGCATATACACAAATGCTGCTTGCATGAATATATGACAAGTAACAAAAATGAGTATATCATCACAATAATAGAATAGAAGCTTTTCTTTTGTTCAAAATAACCCCAAAGCTGCTAGTGGAGAAGTTTAAAATCCTTGAGTGTCCTATCTGGTGAAAGTACCCAGCCAAGTAGCAAGAGTGCTGCCAGCACTGACCACAGTGATGGAGGTGCTACATATGTACAGTCAGTAGGGCGACAATTGTCCTAGCATCTGGGATTTAAAGAAATGTGCATAAAATTAATGATTTCACCTTTTTTTTTTAGGCTAGTAAGTAGGCTCCCACCTCATCACTGTTCTCAGGTATGTATTGACTAGTTACTGTGACACATGCAGTGAGAGCAAGTATGCACCTAAATCCAGATTTTTGCTTGGTAAATAGTGTCTGTGGAAGTTTAAAAAACTCTTAAGTAAAAGCACATTTTTTGGATGAAATTGGTTGCGTCATTGACCTACTCATAGCTTATGCCAGCTTTACTTAGCCCAAGCATGATTATTTTCCGTGAGGAATTTTATGCAGACAGCCAGCAGTAATCAGCACATGGGCTGTGCTTATTTTTGCAAACGGGAAAGGTTAATGTTGCTCAAAACTGTGGGAAAGGAACTGACCCTAGGAAATCAGGCTCAGAGTGGGAACATTTCTGACTCATGTACTCATGATGCACGATAAGCATGTAGGCCTATGTGAGTGAAAATGTGTGTGACAACCACTCAGGGCAACACACTGAATGATCTGACACTATTAAAAGATGTGCTGCGGGGTCCAGTGGAGCTGAAATCCTGAGATACGTGAGCAGGCTGACTCATATATGAGTCCACCAGGGGTTGAACGACTTCTGATTTTTTTAAAGTCGACTTTTATGTGATGAAAGTCGGGTCGAAGTCGATTAGTCGCTGATGGCGTCATTAATGAACAAATAAGTCTGGAGCTTTGATAAACACCTTGTGCAGAGCTATGGCATATGATATGACACAGCGCTGCCCACATGGGGTACAACATGTTCCTGGATCAACATCCTTGTTGATCCTGGAACAACATTCCAATCAACCAGTCAGAACTGAGATATAACTTTTCAGGAAATATCTGTTTTAGGCTTAAAATCAGGGTTAGGTGCTTCTACGCCCTTGTTAATCAGCTATCCTTTCCCTCTGATTTTAGGAATAAATTATGGGTAGGGTTAGGTTTAGGGGTAGGGATTGGGTTAAGTCTATATTTTTGGACAATAATGTTGATCCAGGATCATCAAAAGATGTTGATCCAGGAACATGTCTTACTTGGCAAAATCATGGCGACCGCCCACATGGCTACTGCTCCTATAACAGCTCATTTTTATCAGTTCTTTTTGTTCTTTCTTTGGGTCGTTATATTTCTCACAGATTTCTGCTCGTTCTAAATCAGATACAGATAAAGTAGCACAGTAAAGATTACATTCATATGAATGCATTAGTGAGAGCGATTGCGTGTGTGAATTCATTCTACCTGGCAGCGACTCTCTACTGAAGCTGTGGGATTTAGTTATTAAGAAATATATGCTTGAACTTTTCAGTTTCTCAGCTATTTTATTGAGAAATCACAGAACAGTGATGACAATACATTTCCGTGCTGAATGATTCTGTGCGCACGCGAGCTGTACGCGCTACTGTCCTATGTGTGCGCGTTACAGTTCAGCAGCACATTAGATTAGAACGGCGATTAATTTACCTGCACAATAAGCTGTTTAAAACGTGCATTCTCCCGTTCAATTTCGAGCATCCAGTAATATAATCACACGTCTTGTGGAGCGCTTTCAGAGTATGCATTTATTTGTCTTTTAACTGTTTTGAAACGGAGCGTAAATGTGGAAGTCCTTCAAAGATTTCTTATCCACCTTTTTCTTCAACGCGGAAGTAAGCCTATGGGTGAGACTTCCGGTTCATTAACCGCTATAGGTAAATAACGAGGAGAATAACAACCTGCAGTAAACGGTAAAACACTTGCACTACAAACCAGTGTGTTCATAATTAAGATAATACATTAAAATAATATGATAAGACACACCAACTTTCAATATCAAGCAGCAAAACGAACTGTTTTGTTCAGCTAAAAATAGCTGGACAGAGTGGATGCAGATGAGACCGGAAGCCAGACCCAGAAAAAGGTGGATAGGACCAGCGACTAGTCGACCTCAAGCTTAAAGCGTCATGGCAGAGCATTGAAGTCGACTAGTCGGTGCAACCCCTAGAGTCCACACACATATAACTCTATCTATCTATCTATCTATCTATCTATCTATCTATCTATCTATCTATCTATCTATCTATCTATCTATCTATCTATCTATCTATCTATCTATCTATCTATCTATCTATCTATCTATTATCTATCTATCTATCTATCTATCTATCTATCTATCTATATATAACTGAGGACATAACAGACTATTGTTTTCTAATGTTTAAAAAAAAACCAAAAAAAACATATATTACGTGATTTTCTACAAGAATGCATTAAATTGATCGAAAAGCGACAGTTTTGTAATGTTACAAAAGATTACTTTTTTTGTTTTCTACACATCATAGAATCCTGAAAAAAATGTATTGAATGCATTGTAGCGTTCACCAAAATATTAAGCACAACTTTTCTCAACATTGATAATAATAAGAAATGTTTCTTGAGCAGCAAATCAGCATATTGATTTCTAAAGGATCATGTGACACTGAAGACTGGAGTAATGATGCTGAAAATTCAGCTTTGCCATCACAGGAATTAAGTACATTTTATAATATATTGAAATAGAAAAACAGTTATTTTAAATTGCAATAACATTACACTTTTATTGCATTTTTGATCATAAGAGACTTCTTTCAAATACAATAAAATATAATAAAAATGTTTAAAATTAAAAAGTTGTTGTAAATTGTAATAATATTTTACAATATAACTATTTTTTACTGTATTTTTGATCATATAAATGCAGCCTTGGTGAGCATAAGATGCTTTTTTTTTTTTTTCGAAAAATACTGTCCCCAAATTGTAGCTGAGCATTACACCCACACACACCAATATTTATTTACAGCCCCATATATTTGCACCAGCATGTGGCCTCAGGACAAGTGAAATCAGGAGTGAAATATGAACAGTAAAAATAAAATGTCTTTTATATGCTTACTGAAAGTTTTTTCAACATGATTAATAAGAACAAGACTCACAGTAATATGTATCCCTTTTAATACTGCTAGCGCTCACATTAGATTAGTGATGGTGCATAAAATACTGTCCTGATCCAATGTAATTTACTTGCGCTCTGGCACAAACAAACATTGTGCTCATTTGCATACATTTTCTTTGCTTAGACTGACATCTTAAAACACAACAGAAATACACAAGAAGAGACCATAATGGGTCCCATGGCTATCACTTTAAAGTGGTGTTGATTAGTACTGCCTCTGTGTAACTAAAATTACTAAATGTGAGACAAGTGACATTTAACAACAAGACCAAAGCGGATAAAATATAGTATATTATCATACCTATTAACACCTTGCATGAAATTCGCATCTGTAGATTACATCATAACCATCTGGCCCCTTTCACACAGCCATCAGATATAATATAATTCTCATCAGAAGAAATATGTCATTGATAAAATGTAAATAATCTTTGGTGTGAGACATTGTCTTTAAAATACTCTGTAGGTTCATGCAAGCATCAAGACAATGCAGTTCATTTTCTCTATATATATTAGAGGAGCTTGGTACTGGTACCTAATCATATTATAACGTATGAAAATCTCTGTATATTTTGACTTAAAGCTACAATGTGGCACACAATAAAATATAATATTACAATGTTCTCAAGTAGGATCATAGTGAAAGAACTTTGGAAGCATTTTGTCATTCTGATCCCAAATTAACGCACTTAATTCAATTCTAAACCCGTACCTGTGTACCATCTGTCATCTGTTCAGAGAAAACAAATCAATCATCAATAAAAATGGCTGTGAAACAGGCTTAAACCTGGGCGCCTGTAGGCATTTATGGATTCCAGAGCTGGAGCTTGATGCTGTCCTGTGGTTTTACACAACCACCACGTAGTTAGCAGGGTAAAGGCCCTCTTTCCCTCCGTCCATCATGCCTCTGCACCAACCCTGATCATCCTCATCCTCAATCTTCAGAAACTCCTCACCTGAACACACACATACAAACATAAAGCTTCAGAGGTGGTACACGTATCATACAGACACGTAATATATGAATACACAAACATAAACAAGTGCAGCTTACCTGCTTTGAAGGACAGTTCATCTGTCTCCTGTCCAACATAGTCATAGAGAGCTCTGACTCTCACTCCTCCAATCATTAGACTGAGATGAGGAGGGAAAACAGACAGTCAGTAAAATAAGCCCTATCTTAAAAAATGTTACTGTCCACTCCTACCTTAGCAACTGTCACTATCCACTAAATCAGCAGACAAGCCTTTGCTCTTTTCTAATGCAAATCTTGTATGTGTGGATAGTTTTGAACAAAACTTTTTGTTGCCTTTTGTTGGATAATTATGGAAGCCCATTTCTGCCACATAAGAAAAAATCATTTGTAAATCATAAGAGATAAAAAGTCAAAATGATGACATGCTCATAATTATGAGATAAGTCATAATTATAAACAAATCTTCTAATAATAATGACTTTTCATCTAATAATTTCCAATATGTTACATTTTAAGTTTTTACTCAATTATAATTTAGTATCTCATAATTTCAACTTGTTTGTCATAATTCTATGACTTTTTATATCATATTTCTGATTAACCTAAAAAGCTTTTTTTCTTTTCTTATGTGGAAAAAAAATAGTCTTCCATTGTAATACATCAAAGAAACTTAAATCCTTATTTGTTTATTTCTTAAATATAAACTTTTTAGGAACCATATAACTTACAAAACTAATCTGTGAAACACTAGACCAAAAGAAGGAAATTAAAGGAAATGGGGACAATTTTAGGGTCCATTTTTTCCACATTTGACTAAAAATTATAACAAATACTATAACATTTCGGACTATTACTGTCCTTGGATAGGTTTAAACAGAATTTATCCAAAAATACTGTAACATGTTGTTGCCAGAGCACTTATAATACACAAAGATAAAAGCTGATTTATTCCCTTTTTCTAATCTTCCTGAGAAGTCATGAAGTCTGTATACTACAATATGTGTCTCCTATTATTCTCAAATCATGCAGGAGCATGTAGAACGTAGAGCATTAGTAAGAATTTGCTCCAAGAATATTAATGTTATTAACTTAACATCATTTCATTTACATATTGATTCAGATTATTGTACTGTATTGTTGATAGCAATTAAATGGTTCACAGAACCATAGATAACTAAATGTTATCACTTGTAATGTCTTTTAAATTAAAGTTTTTTTTTCTCTTTTAAGTTGACTGTGATCAACATTTGCCTCAATTCTGATTCACAGTCTCCACAGTCTTACTCACGATACTGCATAAATTATTGATTTTTTTAAAGAAAAACAGCCAGAATGTTTTGCAATGTCACAATTCATTCTAGTATTGAATTTAATATTCAATCAATGTTTGCTTCTGTATTTTACGAAAATTTCACTGTTCAATCCCGAACTCATTCCTTGTCAAGCTTGTCTGAGCAATAGTATCCAAGGGGACTGAGCTTTGTAATGGGTCAATACACAGCAGCAAGCAATTACAAGGCCTGAAGTTCAGAAAGGCCTAGTTTGGTTTGTAGTGAATAACAGTCAGGCAGCCTAGCGCTATGAAGCCCCACAGCAAATATCACTGTAGTAAACTGACCTTCTCTCCATCACTACTGCTTTCTGCTCCACCTCCTTCTTTCCCTTTTTATGCTTCTTGTCTGGAGTCCACTCCTGAAATAGAATGAGAGCGAGAGACAGAGTGAGTGAAGGAGTAAATGTGGGTTTTGGCACAACAGAATACAGTCTATTTGAAGACGTGCCTCTGTGAGATACATAAATATCACAGATAACAACAAAGATGTCACTCTAACACCCTCAAGAATGCATTAACCTCAAAACTTTAGTTTAAAACAAACCTTAAGCCTAAAGTGTTACAGTTTGTTTTTGCTACGGACAATATGAATGTGGCTTACTGCACATTTCTCATTGTGAATAATCCACCTTTTTAATGTAAGAGCAAGTACGATCATTCGTAACTTTAATGTGCAAGGCTTCCAGTTATTTTAGTTGTACAAAAACAGTAAGATCTGCTGCTTGATATTGCAAACTAATATTTGTTATCATATTATTTTAATTTATTATTGTAACTTATTTACTTATTCTACTTTACTTACAGCAGATAATGAACCTGAAGTCTTGCACATTCACAGAACATAGCTCTGTATCTTGAGATAAGGTGGATAAAACAGGTGAAAAGTCTCATAGCCTTGAGTGAACAAGGATCAAGAAAATCAGAGATACGTGAGGTCGGGCTCTTTTAAAACAGGCCATTATGCCACCATCTAGAAACCACCCAGAACACCCTAACAACTGCATAGCAATACCATGGCAACCACCCACAACACCCTCATGGCAGTGAGTTGTGCACAAGCAATCATTTAAGATTAAAATTAAGTTTTAGCTAATGTTTGTCAAAGTAAATGCATTTGCAATATTAACTGTATGTATCTACCTGAAACTGAGGCCAGTCAGTGGGCATTCCT